TAAACGGAGAACACTGACTAACAATTTATGGCTTTCAAAAATATTAAACAATTTTTAGATACTATAATCTTTTTGAGTAAGTTTTTTTAATTGTGGATTGTAAACTTTAGTAGGTATAAAATATGTTTTTATATTTGACAGATGAAAATTATAAAAAAGATTATAGTTGTTGCAAGAAAACTATAAAAATAGTCATATCAAAAGTGTTTCAAACACCTACTTAAAACTTTAGCACTTCTTCCTTGAGTAAAATTGTTAAACAGGAGAGAAAATCAAATTAAAAACAGGAGAGAAAATCAAATTAAAAACAGGAGAGAAAATCAAATTAAAAACAGGAGAGAAAATCAAATTAAAAACAGGAGAGAAAATTATTTATATTCTGAGTTTTACTCTTATAAACAATTTGATAAACTTTTAATTAATTTTTAGTTTTTGATAATTTAAATATTATTAATTAATATTATTAATTATTTTTGTCAGATATCCAATAAAAATGGTTGCTAGGGTTGATTCATCATTACTTCATAAACCTTGATTGCTAGGGTTGATTCATCATTACTTCATAAACCTTGGTTACTATTTAAATGGCTTTGTCAGGGCCATGTTTAGGGTATAGAAGGGTATCTAACCCCCCCCCCCCTCCTTTTAGAGCATAGGGGGTGTCTAAAACCCTTGGAAAATTTTATTCAAAAATTTTCCTAGGGTTTTAGTCTGCAATTTTGGAGACTGGAGTTTGCAAATTTGGATTTTTAGTTGTCAGTCAGCAAATGTCAGCCAACAAGGACATTTTTTTTTTAAAATAACTTACCAAAACTTTTTTTTTTCCCATAGTCCACAAAACCCTTTTTTCAACCTCCCTCCTCTCCTTTAAAAGCTCTTTGTGAAAGCCCTGGACTTTAAAAGTCTTAATTAAACTAGGTAACTTAATAATTTTTATTAATCAGCAAAAAAAAAATCCTATAAAATCGTATAAAATTTACAAGCAAAGATTAACTTTTTTAAAATACAGACATGCCTTAAAATAACAGGGCAACTGGAAGTTAATATTTAAGTGATGATTAATTATTAAATATTTACAATATATATGAATATAATATACTATATACTGGTCTGATATAAAAGTATATATAAACATTTATTATAAAAATATAAACATAATAAAATAAGGTAAAAATACAGACCGCCTCATTATAGAAACAGAACTAACAGAATTGTGTAAGCGAGTAATATTAAGCATTGGTGCAATACTCGCTATCCCACGACCATCTGAAAGCTGAAACATTTTTACAATAATTACTCAGAAACTTTTTAAATTAAGAATATGTTAATAAACCACTTTACATAATGTTGTACCTTGTATGCTTTTGATCCACTGAGAATCAATTCTGCAGTTGGCATTTGTCTAGTGCCTAGTTTTTTCTTAAGTTTCTAAAATGAACATAGCCTGTTAGTTTTGCTATTTTTACTTAAATATTTTAACTTTAAAAACTCACTTCAATACTTATTCCATTTAGTTCACCAGCTGCAGTTTTTGTTTCCAAATAGAACAGTGTGAGGTTGGGCTGAAAAAATTATATATTTGGAAAGTAAACATTTTTTAAATTTTTAAGCATTTTCTAAATATTTAAAATGATGTTTAGATTTTTATGGTTTCAATTTGTATTCAATTCATATTCAATTTTTAAAGTCACCTTATTTATAATTTAATTTACAATTAGAAAGTCTAAAAGTTAATTAAAAGTTAATTAGTTAAAAATTAATTAGAAGTTAATTAGTAAAACATAAACATTAGTTTGGTAAACGGTAATGGTGATAGCTAATGTGAATGTAGTGAAAGGTTGAGAACTGGCGAAGTGAAGATGAAAGTGCTGAAGTGGTAAAAGCAGTAAAACAGGTGAAATAAAGGTGTAAGTAAAATTGGAAGTGAAATTGGAAATGAAGATGGAAGTTAAGGTGGAAGTAAAGCTAAAGAAATGACGATGGAAGTAAAGATGGTAGAGGTAACTTTTTCTAAATTTATATGAATTTATGTCATTCAAATATTAAAAAAAAAAAAAAATTAAGTAGAATGCTAAATGCCTATAAATTTGTGGTCTTTAGTTTCATTTGTACAAAAACATTTAAAAAATATGTTTTTATAAATTTGTGGTCTTTAGTTTCATTTGTACAAAAACATTTAAAAAATATGTTTTTATAAATTTGTGGTCTTTAGTTTCATTTGTACAAAAACATTTTAAAAATATGTTTTTATAAATTTGTGGTCTTTAGTTTCATTTGTACAAAAACATTTTAAAAATATGTTTTTATAAATTTGTGGTCTTTAGTTTCATTTGTACAAAAACATTTTAAAAATATGTTTTTATAAATTTGTGGTCTTTAGTTTCATTTGTACAAAAACATTTAAAAAATATGTTTTTATAAATTTGTGGTCTTTAGTTTCATTTGTACAAAAACATTTAAAAAATATGTTTTTATAAATTTGTGGTCTTTAGTTTCATTTGTACAAAAACATTTAAAAAATATGTTTTTATAAATTTGTGGTCTTTAGTTTCATTTGTACAAAAACATTTAAAAAATATGTTTTTATAAATTTGTGGTCTTTAGTTTCATTTGTACAAAAACATTTAAAAAATATGTTTTTATAAATTTGTGGTCTTTAGTTTCATTTGTACAAAAACATTTAAAAAATATGTTTTTATAAATTTGTGGTCTTTAGTTTCATTTGTACAAAAACATTTAAAAAATATGTTTTTATAAATTTGTGGTCTTTAGTTTCATTTGTACAAAAACATTTAAAAAATTTTTTTAATCACTGATTAAAGATCTGAAAATAAAAAACTTAAAATATAAAAATAAAAATAAAAAACTTAAAATATAAAAATAAAAATAAAAAACTTAAAATATAAAAATAAAAATAAAAAACTTAAAATATAAAAATAAAAATAAAAAACTTAAAATAAAAAAATAAAAATAAAAAACTTAAAATATAAAAATAAAAATAAAAAACTTAAAATATAAAAATAAAAATAAAAAACTTAAAATATAAAAATAAAAATAAAAAACTTAAAATATAAAAATAAAAATAAAAAACTTAAAATATAAAAATAAAAATAAAAAACTTAAAATATAAAAATAAAAATAAAAAACTTAAAATAAAAAAAAAACTTAAAATGAAAAACATTAAAAGTTGTATATCAAAAATAAATATTGAACAAAAATAAAATAAAAAGCCAAACTTAAAAGTGTTTGAGGTCGACAGAAAATTGCTAACATTGTTAGTATGTCTTATGGTAAGACCTTTGTATCAAATTTATTTTACTGACCTGATAGTGACTTCTAAAAGAATAAGGTCGGCAAATTGTTGGGAAACTAATTTTTCCTAATTCTGAGGGCTATATAGGGCCTGTCGAATCAGCATTTTTAGCTTTGAATTGAATCTCAAATTGAAGCAACACTTGATTTGCAAAATGAATCACTAGTTTAAGAAAACCCAAACTTAAGTTTTTTTATCTCTATATTTTTACAATATGCAATTAAACAATTAAAATGTTATTTGAGTAAGCTTTTTTTGTTACTTTTATCCCAAATTAACTGCTCCACGTTTTGCATGGAAAGGCAAATTTGCGTTTTACTGTCAATAACTCCTTATCTCACAAAGTTAAATCTTTCTGTTGAATAATGTGTAGCTTGTATAGCAAAAAGATCATGTGCAACTTTAGATAATAAAGGAAAAATGTTACTTTTTTCTTCCAGTAGAGAATAGGAAAGTCTTAACGCCCAAATGTTTTCTCTTTGGTGTACGTAATAATTTCAAATTTCAAGTCCTGATGTAAAGTTCTTCTCTCTGATAGGATACAATTGTTAGAAACATGTTTAAACATTTTATCTAAAATTCCATTTGTTTCAGTTGAGAAATTTGTTCCCTGGAGTAGAAATTTGTTCCCTGGAGTAGAAATTTTTTTTTTCAGATTAAGTGAGAAAGCCTAAGAAGATAGAAACCTGAATTTCCAACTGCTTAGTAAGATCATCAACAAATTTACTTATTCCTCTTTTATCCATTGAGTGAAGGCAATTTTCAAAGTTGTAATCCACGGATAAACTAAACTAATGCTCACACTTTTTCTATACTTAAAAATAGCAGTGGCTTCAGGTACTGTATTTAAAATAGGAGTGACAATTGTTAATAATTGCACTTGCATTTCAGTCAAACAAGTTGATGGTACTTTTATACAGTTTTTTTTTTTTTGTTTGCACTCAACTATAGCATATTCTATAGAACCTTTCTATGTTCTATAGACATTTTTTTTTTAATCCAACCCATTAAGTTAGAAGTATTGTTAAAGTGCGTTTCCACATCCATTGGAGACTCAGGTTTTCCCTAAAGGGATCCCCAACTGCCAAAACAAGTTGTGTTTATATTAAAGAAAATGTTTAAAAAAAATATTTTTCATATTTAAAAAAAAATTTCTTTAATATGATAACAATGCATACAAACAAAATTAAAATTATCATTTTAGTCGAAGCTCGCTTTCTCTATTTTTTTGGGGGGTCTGTATAATGTTAGTCGCAATCTGCAGACTTGATAATTTATTCCATGCGTGTTTAATTCATAACAGTTTTGGTATATGACATCACCGCAACATCTTTTTAAGATAGCATTTTTTTTTTGTTTTTTTTTTTAAAGATATAAGTATTTTTTACTCTATTACAATCAGAAAATCAAATATATATATATATATATATATATATTTATACTTATAATTTTTTTTTACTTGCTTTATTATTACTTTGTTTTAAAAGCAAGCCAAAATCATGACACAATTATACATATTTTGTGATTATCAGAGTTCGCAGGCAGAGAAAAATAAAGACAGTACGATGCGGTTTCTTGTTTTATATTTAGTTCATATGGTTTAATAGAGTTGCTCGCTATGGTTTAACTCTTTCACTACCGCAAGCCACTGGTAGCGGCTTTCGAGTATGCTTTACAATTTATCTTTTTTTGTACATAAATTTCCATTCTAGACACATAGAATTTGTTTCTTCTAAAGGTTTAATAAATTCTCTACATAATTAAGAAAAAATAAGAGCTATATTATGTAGTTATAAAAAAGTTATCACAAAATTAAAAAATCTTGAATAATACTTTTTAAAAAAAAACTTTTAATTTAGTTACAAAATAAAACAGCGTTAACACTGTAAAACTTAACTTTTAGAAGTGTAAAGTATTTAGTTAAGTAATTACCAAATTATTTTGAAGAAAAAATATTATTTTTATTCATTAAATGAGGTTTGTCCCGGACTTAATGTTTTAGTTAACTACTTATAAAAACGATAGTTTTAAGCACTTTGCATTTCTTATTGTTTAAAGGGATCCCCAACTGCAGGGACAAGTTGTGTTCATATTCAAGAAAATGTTTAAAAAAAATATTTAGGCTTAATTTTTTTGATTAAAACTATATAATGAATATACACCATTAAATTTAATATTCATGTTTTAGTCCAAGCTAAAAGCTTTAGTCCAATATATATATATATATATATATATATATATATATATATATATATATATATATATATATATATATATATATATATATATATATATATATATATATATATATACATATATATATATATATGTATATATATATATATATATATATATATATATATATATATATATATATATATATATATATATATATATATATATATATATATATATATATGTATATATATAGCTCGCCGTCTCCATTTTTTTTTGATTCTCGAGAATCTATATATATATATATATATATATATATATATATATATATATATATATATATATATATATATATATATATATATATATATATATATATATATATATATATATATATATATATATATATATATATATATATATATATATATATATATATATATATATATATGTATATATATATACATATATATATATATAGAGGAAAATGCTTCTTGCATTTCACCCTTAGGGTGAAATGCAGAAGCGAACTTGAGTCAAGCTCGACTTGAACTTTACATTGCAACCAAAAGCGACAGAGTATGGGTTTTCCCCTCAAAAAAAACTCTGCCGCTATTGGTTACAAAGTAAAGTTCAAGTCGAACTTGACTCAAGTTTGCTTCTTGCATTCCACTCTAAATGTTGCTAATACATAATATAAGCTTTTAACTAATAATTATTTTAATAAAAATTGTTGAATAGAATATGAAAAACGCGACACCATTTTTTTATATTTTCATTTTATTTATCATCTAGACTAAACATTTTCTATAAATACGCAAGTTGTTTTCAGGAATTTTATTTAAAAAGAAATCTATTTGAACAAGAGAACTTTAGCCTTAAAATTCACTTATTCAAATAATTTTATGATTGAAATTTGAAACTGAAAAAAAAATTTAAAATTTAAAAAAAGTTTGATGAAACAAGGGAGAATGAAGATGAAAGTTTTTTTTTCGTAAATCGTTAGTTTTGTTAACGTTTTGAATTATATATTTTTTCTTGAAAATAGTTTTAAAAGTAGAAACATTCTATTACAAACATCAAAGCTGTGATTGCAAATTGCAAGTTAAAATAAAAACTATAAAAAAATTTAAATTAAATTTAATAAATTATTTTACTTCTGTTCAAAAAAAAAATTTTCTAAAAAAATAATTTAAGCATATTCTTATACTTAATATAATTTGATTTATTAAACAAAATTTTTGTTTCACTTTTTTTTGGAAAACTATTAGAATAAAAAAAAAATTGAATGAAAACATCAGTTTAAAATTCACTTATTCAAATAATTCTGTGATTGAAATTTGAAATTGAAAAAAAATTTAAAAATTTAAAAAAAGATTGATGAAACAAGGGAGAATGAAGATGAAAGTTTTTTTTTCGTAAATCGTAAATTTTGAATGAAAAACTTGATTATACTTAAATTTTTAATAGTACGCTTGATCAAGAAACGATAATTTATAAAAGACGTGGTATCTTATGTTTTTTTGCTTTGACCTTACTCGTTTGGTCTATATAAACTCGTATAGGTCTATAGGCGCAAATATGAAGTTTATATAGCTATATTATATATTATATATTATACTAGCTCAATTTTATTTATTACCTTCCTTTTATTTTAAACGCGTTTTATTTTATAAACTGTATACATCAAAACGAAACAGCTTCACGAATTTGTTTTACATTATTCCAAGCTCATATTTTTATAACAACTTTGCAGTTTGTTTTAATGTTGTTTTATAGCTTTTAACAATTAAATACTTTTTAAATTTAACGCATTTTTTAACGTCAGCATGAACGTTTTATATAGTTTTCTTTGACTAATTAAAGTGGTTTAGATATTGTAATGTTGCTTTTTCTCTTACTTTTTTACTTTTACTTTTTTAAGTATCATGTTAAGTAAAAATATACTTAAAGAAATATCTTAATAGTATTAAAAACGTTATTGCTTATTACAACTGCAACTTAAACTTTAAGTTATAACTTAAGTTGTAAATAATAACAGTAACTTACGCTATTTTAAATTCTGACAAACAAGAAAATTATAAGATTATATTTAAATAGAGATAATATGATAAAAATGGAACAATTACGTATAAAACTTACAATTATATACTAACGCAATTTCCCTCCCCTCCCCCATTACTGCAAAGTGGCGCAAAGTATAAGGGGGAGGGGAGGGGGGAAGGGGTGTAAAAAATTTTTTTTTTTCGCGATTAGATTTTTTTGCGTTAATTTGAGCCCTATATATATATATATATATATATATATATATATATATATATATATATATATATATATATATATATATATACATATATATATATATATATATATACATATATATATATATATATATATATATATATATATATATATATATATATATATATATATATATAACATAAAATGTATGTATATATATAAGAAACAAAAAAGATAATATAAAATATAAGTACTAAAAGATCAAATTAAAATTAAGTGGTGGAAATTTGTAGATAAAAATCAGTGTTACTATTAATGTAGGTGAAAATTCAATGGCTTCATTTAACTCATCAACTTCAAATTTTTATTGGTGAATCTATTGCCGGTCTTCAGAGCAGCAATAAATTCACCAATGAAGTTTCAGAGAACTTTATAAAAGACTAGTATTATGTGTTATTTATACTTTATAATTTTATTTTTATACAATTTTACAACTAAACTAACCTGATATATGCCATCCTCAACAATTTTAGCTAATGTAAGACTTATGTTTGCATCAGTTGCAGATGTAAACCATTTAAAGCCATGTAAGCCATATGTTCCATCAGATTGTGGCACAGCAATAGTTTCAGTTGAATTTACTTACAAAAAATAAAGCTCAGAAACTTAAAACACAAGTTTAATATATTATTTAAATAATGAAACATTTAATAAAAAAATTAAACACTAAATTATTAAAAAAAAATATTTTAAAACTTTTATTACAACAATGTGATAAAAATATTTTTTGTATGTTTTACACATTAACTGCAAAAATTTAAAAATAATTCAATTTTGGTTCAGTATAGAATCATAGGTCATACTATTAAAACTAAAATTTGAAATACTTCATTATTTCCTTCAGAGTATTTACTTCCAGTAACATAAACCTCTACATAAAACTTTACAAGTCTTTACATAAAACTTTACAAGTGTTTCAGGATTAATTTTTTAAGATATAAAATACAAACTCTTGGGTTTTTACTGATAATAATTTAACAAACTAAAGTTACTAAATTAAAATATATATATTAACTTATTATATATTAATATACTTATTATATTATAACTCTTCTTCTATTCTTTGGTCTACTTTATGTTATACTTCTACTATTTCTATTACCTCTATTATCACCTCTATAACCTCTATGTCTTTTTTTATTCTTCTCCCCTTTTTTAGTTTACAGTTTTAGGGATAGTTTGACGCTTAGTTAGATGTTTATTAAACAGCTTTGTCAAGTGTTTTTGCTAGACTTTTCACGCTTCATTTAATAAATTAATTGGTTGATTAATTTATCTTTAGTTAAGTTTTTTACAACATTAAGCTTTGTATTTTGTTATCTTCACTTACAAGTTCGTTCTTGAAGTCAGATGCATCATCAAAACTAGGAAAAAAATAATTAAACAAACAACATCATGCTAATTAAATAGCAGTGGAATAGCAGCAAAACCAGTAAAGTCTCAAATAAGCAGCGATATTTCCAATAAACAACAAAACTGCAAATAACAGCAAAATCAATGAAATTAATATGTATTTATATAAATGTATGTATATAAATGAAAATCTCGAATAAGCAGAAAAATAAAAAAAAATCAGCAAAGTTTTGAACCAACAGCAAAATAGCAAAACAGCAAAACCACTAAGATAATCAGTTTTGAATAAACAGCAAAACACCAAAGTTGCTAATAGCAGCAACAGTAAAAATCTTGAATAATCAGCAAAGCAACAAAATAGTAAATAACATCAAAGTCAGTAAAATCAGCAAAATCAGTAAAATCAGCACAGTTTCGAATAAACAATTAAACAGCAAAATCAGAAAAATAATCAGCAAAACAGTAAAATTGGATTATTATTTTCAAGCAGAAAACTCACAGTGGTTCGAGGCGCGTTGAATCTCTATCCAGTTTTTTAATGTTTATAGTAATTCCTGGCATTACTATAAACATTAGTCTCTAACCTTTATGTTTGTTTTTACAGGCTGAGCATTTGCAATTTCAAGTGAGGTGTTTATTTCTTTTTGGTGACATCGTTGTTGATTGGTCCTGATTAATTATTTCAGATTGTTCTCTTTTTTCTTTGTTTTTAAGGAGAGGTTTAAGAAGATTAAGAAGCATAGTTTAAATTTGGTTTGTTCGAAACTAAATGTACAATTATCAAGAGCACGGCAATAAAAACCATAAAATTGATTCAGATAATCCTCTAATAAATTTCTGAAAAAATGAACCTGTACATTATAACTATTTTAAACTTCATATAATATTATATTAAACTTTCTCCAACCTCCTAAACTGCTCCTCCAATGGTTGTTAACACACTAGAGGAAGCATCATCAATTGATTGTACTAGTTTTTCATCCAGGTCAGACACCATTCAGCAAGTCCTTTATTGCTACTTCAGTTGGTTTGATAACTTCCTCCGCTTGCCGTCACTTGTAGAGCACATATCACTTCCATTAGTGTCACTAATAGTTTTTAGTGTCTGTAGTGTCTCATGTGACCCCAAAATCAATTGCAAGACTGAGTATAGTGAAAACTGTTGAGGTTTTTCAACTAGAAAGTCTTTATTATAACCTCAAACACAGGGAATCGAGTTGTTTGGAAAGAGTAGTACATGGTTTGTCTGGGCCTCCACAATCATAACAAGTCTGTACACCAATACTTTGTATTTAATATTTAGTTTAGGTTCCGTAGGTACAAAGATTGATGTATTTATTCTGCTGATGTGGTTGGGAATGGTGTAATCATCCATCTGTGAATACGAGAGATTTTAGTTTGTGTGAAACACATTTGTTCAGAGGCACTTATCATGTTTATCTTTAAAGTCATAAGGGCTATAGTAATGTGTGCTTCCACACATTACTATAAAATGAAAATGCAACAAGGTCATTGGCTATTTTTTGTAAATAGTTTACAGCAGTGAATTTGTATTGTTGAAACATTTCATCTGGGAATGTAGGATCTTGCAGAAGCATACCCTTGTCTAGAATAAGCACGTGATCTTTTTGTTCTAAGAGCTGCATAGCTCCACCCACCTTTTAAATCATTATTAAAATTAATTCACCAATCGGTGAGTCCCCTGCTGTTACAAGTATTTGTTTGGAATGTTAGGTCCTTTGACTTTTGATTGAAAAAATTTTATTAACATGTAAGAGTGACATTTTTCAGCACATCAACGAATTAGGGCTATTGTGGTCATCTGAGATTTTTCTCCAAATGTGACCAGACGATTTCCAGTCTAATAGGATGTTAAATTGGCTCATAAAGTCATATCTTAAAATTACTGAATGGTTTAAGTTTTTAGCAATTAGCATTTCATGCTCAAATATATTGCATTCAATATTAATGGGGCATAAGGTTGTTCTCAGGGTAATAAAGTAAGGTAGTGGTTTAGCAACTTAATTCTTAATATTTTCCAAGATGGTTTCTTCCAAAATACTGCATATAGCACCAGTACCCATAAGAACAAGTACCCTAAATTTGTACACTTTAACCCAGATTTTAGATCAAGGATGTCCTTCAGGATCCAGTGTGTTAGTGTGTCGCTGGGGACTCAGTTATCTGAATGCAGGTTATTTCTTGGTTTTATTGTTTTATAGTTGCTGATTCAGAAAAGAAGTATTATTAGATGAAGCCAAGTTTTGGGTATTATGGTTCCAAATGCTGAGTTAAGATATGGTAGTTAGTAGCCATAACTGTTTATTTAGGAGGATTTAGGAATGGATCAAGCATAGCTTCTAATCAAGAGATAGTTGAATCTGACACAACTGTATTTTTCAACTTACCAAACACTATTGCAGCTTGATAATTGACAGTCAGCTTTAATTTTAATGCACCGCGTAGATTTGGCTTCAAACTTTTAATAAACAAATTTAGCTTAGTTTCTCCATCAAACACTTAATCTCTCATTTTGAATCTAATAACTTACTTTCTGATCATCAATATGGATTTCAATTTTCTCATTCTACGGTTGATTTGCTAACAGTAATAACCGGTAGGTTTTATTGTGCATTAGATAAAGGTGAAGAGGTTAAGGCCATTGCTCTTTACATTTCTAAAGAGTTTGATAAAGTTTGGCATGCTGGTCTTTTCCATAAGCTTTCTTCTTACGGTGTATCTGGTAACATCTTTAAGATTATTGAATCAACGTGTCCTTGATGGACAACATTCTTCTTCATATCCTGTAACTTCAGGGGTTCCTCAAGGTTCAATCCTTGGCCTTATACTTTTTTTAATTTACATTAACAATGTTCCAGATATTCTCACATCTAAGGTGGCATTGTTGGCTGATGATACTACCATTTATTCTTGTCATGATAAAAAGTCAACACTCTCTGGTTGCTTGAAGGGGGGATTTGAGCTTGAAAGGGATCTCATTTTTGCTACAGTATGGGGCTCACAGTGGCTGGTGAACTTTTTTTCGGATAAAACTTTTTCAGCCAATCGTTATCGCAATAATTTAGACCTATATTTATGAACAGTAATAAACTCGATGAGTCATCTTCCCTTTATCTTCTAGATTAAGTCTTACTTCCAATCTTTCTTGGAAACCATATATCAAAACCATTGCAAATTAACCTTTGCTAAGGTTGCATCTTTTTATCGAGCTCAACACTTTCTTACTCCGGATTCTATTCTCTATCTCTATAAATCTCAAATGCGGCCTTGTATAGAATACTGTTGCCATATCTGGGGTAGATCTTCTAATGATGCCCTTTCTCTTTTAGACAAGATGCAAAAACGCATTGTAAACATAGTTGGACCTGCTTTTGCAGCCAACCTTTAACCTTTGTCACATCGTCATAATGTTGCTTCTCTTTCTCTTTTCTACAAATACTATAATGAGCACTGCTCTAAAGAACTAGCGTCTCTTGTGCCATCTATGAAAATTCATTCTTGTGTTACTCGTCCTTCAATTAAGTCTCATCCTGCTCCAAAAACTCTAATTCCTCTAATTTTTTTCCTTGAACATTAGTTCTTTGGAATTCGCTTCCTTCATCTTTCCTGATTCATATAATTTGCAATGTTTAAAGTTATCTGTCAATCGTTATCTTGCTCTACAATCTTCATCTTTTCTCTTCCAGGTTCTTCAAATTCTAATTACTGGTTGCTTGCAGCCTTGTTGGGAGCAAAGATGTTAGAAAAGAAAAAAAAAAAAGCTTAATAACTCCATTTTTTGGTTCCATGCAATACTTGCATCACCATAATAATGCCATAATAATTATTATTGAAGCTGATAAAAATCATTTCTAATGTGAGCGGAAAAAGTTTCCTAATACACTAAACCTTCAAAGTATAAGAGCAATGCAATTAATTTCCTCAAGTCTATTTCAATGGTTATGCAGTGCAATGTGACAAAAACTGGTTAACCATTCTGTGATATTTCATTATTTCCACCTTTGAACAGTTTAGATTACAAATCTTGAATAGGCTTTGTTGTTAAGCACTTTAAAATTTGTTCTAGGAACATATTATTTTTGGATGTACTGTTTGTTGGGGATTGGCTATTGTCTTTTTTAAATAGACTCGAAGAACGAGTTATTGAGAGAGGTATGAGAAATATTGGCTGAATAAGAATAATAAATTGGTTCAGTAAATGGACATAAAAAATTAATAATAAAAATAAAAATAAAAATAAATGGACATAAAAAGTTAGTAATAAAAGTCAAAACAGTAATAATAGTTGTAATAATAGTTGTCAAAAAGTCAAAATAGTTCTGCACGAGTAATCCGAGTAAAATAACAAAATAAACAAAAAAAAATTATGCAGGTTCAGCCCAAGCAGAGATGAAATCTGTTTGAATCCGGGCAGTGCGTTCAAAATGTTTCAGGGGTGATTTTGAAAGATATAAAATACAGTACTCTTAGGTTGTTACTGATTATAATTTGACAATTAAAGTTACAATGCCTTATATACATATTAACTCTTCTTTTATACTTCGGACTACTTTGACTGCTCGTCTTGTCTGTATGTACACTTCTACTACTATTACAATCTTTATCACTTCTATAACCTCTATGTCTCTAAGCCTTTTTTCATTCCCTTTGCCCTACCCCTTTTTATATATTTTTAAGGGTTGTTTGATGTGTGTTGGTTAGATAATTGTTAAACAGATAATTGTCTATCATTTTTGCTAGAAGCTTCACACTTTATTTAACAAAACATGCTGCTTGATTAATTAATCTTATTTTTTAATATTTACAACTTTGTAGCTTTGTAGCTTGTTACCTTTGTAACACAAGAATGTACCTTAAAAAACCAAGGTTATATTCCTAAAGAAATAAGGTCATGCTAAAACTAACTAAATGGCATAAAAAGGTTGAAATAAAACAAATCAACTACTAAAATATTTTCAAATTACCAACATCAGAACCTCCTTTTTTTTCAGTCATCCATTGTCCAGATGTCCAAAACAAATTTGGATTATTTGATATTAATTTTTCATAGGCATCCTTAAACGGTTTCTCTGGCCTTACCTGAAACAAAAAAGATTTTTTCAACAACAGAAAATGAAATTTTTAAAAGTTAAAAAAAAAGTGAAATTTGAATACCTTGAGAATACTTGCTGCTCCATCAGTCATTGCTATTGGACATGAGTACAATCCGCTAGATGGACTGAAAAGGTATAACTTTGCTGCTTGATATAAACGCCTATAGAAACATTTAAATAAAAGTCTCCTAACTAAATAAAAATTACTTATTAGATTTTATATAAAATTTATGTAATATCTGAAAGTTTATATACTTAAGTATCATAATAACATTCTAATATCATTAAACATTTTTTTCAATTACTATTGCTATAACGTTTAAAAAAATTTGAAATTTCTACAAATAACAGAAAAGGCTAAACTTTTATATTTCTTTTTAATTTGACTAATTACTAAAATTTTGACTCAGAAGAAAAATGCTTGGTTTTAAGAGACATTTATGTAGTTTTACATAAGTTTATAAGTATATTTGAATTGATGTCATTGCATCAACTGAGGGTTTGGCCTGGGGCAGTAATATATGTGTGTGTGTGTGTGTGCGCGCGTGTGTGTGTATAAATTAGGGTGTCTCAGAATGAGAAAATTTTCAAAATAAAAATATGTATCTTATTAAATTTGGTGCAAATATATAGAAAATAGATTTTTTTAAAACATATCAGTCACTTTCTGACCATTTTAGACCCTCTCTCAAGGCTCATTTTCGTGAAAAAATATCAACTTTTTTGTCAAAAATTGCTGATTTTTCTGACGTTGAGGGAAAGTCTAATATAAACCAATTTGGCTGAATAAAAAAAAAAGGGGCTACACTACATATATTTTGTATTTAAAATCATACGTATATTTGTATTTGTTATATTACCAAGCATTTATTATTCAAATTATCCATAAATTCCATAAATTCACAAAATTTATGACTTTTGTTGTGTTAAAAAAATATATTTGTATTTGGAGTATACAAATACATTTTTTCTAATATAATAAAAATGTTTTTTGGTTAAAAATATTGTACATTGCTTGCTACTTTAATTAGTTACGTATTTGAAGGTATGCTTCCTTGTCATTCTTCACTCCTCTTTTGCCTGCCATTTCCCAAAATAAAATAAATAGCAAACCATTACACTTCATGTTCTTTTACTAAAGTTTCATATGAATTCATTTTTAAATAAAAAATAATTAATATGAATGATTACATTGATTTAAAATTTAAATTTTACATTATTGAATTTTAAAATTCAAAACAAAAATTTAAGTAACTGAACAAGTATTGATATGAGTTATCAAAAACACAAGATTTTGCGCAATAACAGTTTGAGATCTTCTAAAAAGGTTTTTCATATTATCAATAAAGCTACATCTGCTATTTCAGGTATGTGTTGCATAGAAATAAAAATAATGTACAGTTATCGATTCGGTTTTATGATATTTTGTATTTACCTGAAAAAAAGTCATGGTCACTAAAACACATTTTTATTTCAATATTGACACCAATCCATCACACTATTATACTTTTTTGGATAAATAATGCGAACTTATTTATACTATTTATATAGTATTGGTAATACTATTTTAATAAAAACCTATATGGTTTAGGAACACAACTTCCAACGGGTATGGATATCTTGCAACACTTTAAATATTGCTAAGATCCAATGAATCTAAAATCGAAGATTTACAATTCTTAGAAGATCAAGAAGGTCTAAGATTATATCATTTGGGTCCTCTAGATACTAAATATACTAAGAAAGTAATTTGATTATATTTTGGTTGTGAGAATTTGCATAGTGTAAGATTTATTTTTTTAAATGTTTAGGCAGTTTTGCGTCTTAATTAAATGTTGCTCTTAAGGTACATGAACTATTAAGTTACTTTACTATATGGAGTGAAGCATTAGTATATAAAATATTGATTTAACTAACATTATTTTGTTTTTGGACTTATATATACTATATTATTGTCACTATATATATTTTTGTCACTCTAACAACTTATAACTAATAAATTTATTTTTATATAAGGTAAAATCATTAAATATAAAGAAGTGCAAAATTGCAATGAAAAATGGATCAACAAGTAAAATCTTAAAATTTTACAAAGAAGACGTTAGCACTAATGATGAACTAAGTTCAGATATTTATAAAAGTATTCATATTTACAAAAAAACACAAAAACTCTTTTGTTCAACAGTGTGTTTACAAGGTTAAAAGTTCAAAAAATTCTTGGCCAAGAGGTAATCCACTGTTTAGAGTGGTAGCCCTCTTATCAAGTACTATTATTAATAACTTGAAAACTATTGGATCATAATGACGATGAGAAACAATGAAAAAAAGTCAATAGAAACGATCATAAACAACGCTACTGATGCAGCAATTAAACTTAGAACAAGTACAACATGTCACCGACACGTCAATTTGACTACCAGGATACCAAACAGACAAAAAAAACAGAGGAGGTAGGGGAGAAGGTGTTGTAATATACATAAAAAATGATATACCAGTAGCTGAAACAGATATAGCGCAATTGAACTCATCGGACATAGAGCAAGTATGGCGAGTAATAAAGTTAGGTAAAGAGTCAAATCTCCTGGGTTGCATTTATCGTCCGTAGAACAATGACAAAGTAATGCTTGAAAAAGTAATAAAGACAATCGATACTGCAAAGTAAAGCATTTCAAAACTGGAATGCTCATCCATGTTAGTCTACGGCGATTTCGACTTCAGTCACACAACATACAAAGAACTTGACTTAGACGGAGCATCAGAAACAGTTGCCCACGTGCAAAATGAGCATCAAAGTGATATGTTATTCAAACAATGTCTAAACATGAACTTTCTTACACAAATGGTAACATTCCATACCTATAGAAGAAATAGAGAAGAAGAGCCAAGAAGCACACTTGACTTACTTATCACAGACGAACCAGACCGAATTATCAATCTACATAAAGGCGACTCACTAGCACAAATAATAGCCATGGATTGGATAAGTATCTTCAATTCTTTTTCAGCTAACGACAACTATAAATTACTAATAGAAAAAGTTAATGAAGCAATCAAAATCCACATACCTGCAACTACGTTACATTTCAAGAGTAAAAAAAAACCATGGAACACCTCTGAAGTTGAAGTAGCTGTGAGATAGAAGAGAGCACTATGGCGCAAATACTAAAGCAGCAACAGTTGACTATGAGAGGGAGATTGCAGCACATTTTAACTATGACCCAAAACAACTTCATAACCAAGTTAAGCATAAGCAAATGGAAAATGAAATGGAGAAATCTTCAAAAATGATGCAGGAAAAATAACTACAAGTATGCAAAAAATTTCACATTTACTTAATAATTATTTTCAGTCTGCATTTATTGTTGAGCCTCTAAATGCCAAACTTTAGAGATCGAACCCAAACAAACTGCAACTTAAATGAAGCTACGCAAGTGCGATATAAATGGATCATGCATGCAGCTGTACAGCAAAAGCTTGAACTAATTGAAACAAAATCTAAAGAGATGCCACCTCGTGTACTTTGCAATTGCGCTGCTGCAATCTCCATACCATTAGCAATGATCTACCGCAAGTCCCTCTCTGAAGGCAAAGTACCCAATCTATGGAAACTGTCAAATATAACACCAATCTTCAAGACTGGTAGCAGAAGGGAGCGTTCAGAATACAGAACAATATCACTAACATCAGTACCATGCAAGATAATAAAGAGCTTCATTCATGAACAAATCATGAAGCATTGCTATAACAATGGTCTATTCATAAAAGCGCAACACGGGTTTTTACCTAAGTGGGGCTGCGTGTCTAACCTACTAGAAGCTTGCGATATTCTGACAGATGCAGTACATCACGGCTATTCCATAGACGTTATATACACTGCCGCACAAAAGACTTCTGCATAAACTAAAAGCTTATGGTTTATGTGGCTCATTGTTCAGGTGGATATCAAACTGGCTGGTTAACCCAAAGCAAAGGGTTGTTGTTTGCAAAGCTGAATCTGAGTGGAAAGAAGTAACTAGTGGAGTGCCTCAGGGATAAGTTGCTCTTTATCCTCTATATTAATGACCTACCAGACAACATAGCACACCACATCAAGATATATGTTGACTAGGTGTAATCAAAACAGAGGAGGACAAAGTACGTCTTTAGCTAGATATTGATAGCGCTGTAGAATGGTCCAAAAAGTAACTATTACTATTCAACTTGGACAAATGAAAATGCATGCACGTAGGTCGCTCCAACAAATCAGGCTACGTCTACAAAATGACTGATCAGATAGGAATAAGAAAAGAACTGATACGACTTTAGTTGAACGAGATCTAGGTGTTATTATTTCAGAAGACTTAAAAGTTAAGCATAAAGTTGAAGCAGCGACTGCAAGAGCAAATCAGGTACTTGGTTGGCTTAAGAAATCCTTCAGAAGCAGAGATCTCATACTTTGGAAAGTCCTTACAAAATCATATGTTAGACCACACCTTGAATTCGCCATCCAATCGTGGTCGCCACATTTAAAGGGAGACATCAAGGCTCTCGAAAGCATTCAAAAACGTGTGACAAAGCTGATCACAGACATCAAACATAAATCATATGGAGAAAAGCTTACAATTCAAGCATTAACCAAACTAGAAGATAGACGAGTTAGAAATGATTTAATTCAGTAATATAAGATTGCGGATGATGTTGAGAAAATCAAATTTGTTATGCAAACGCTTTCCCAATATAACCTTCGTGGCAATAGCTTAAGACTTACTAAGCCGATAGTCAAGAACTGTGTCAAAAGAGAAAAGTTCTTCACAAACCGCGTAGTCAACGCATGGAATGCTTTACCATCAAACGTTGTTAACGCCTTTTCAACCGAAGCATTCAAAAGTCGATTCAATGCATTAACAGTATAAGTATAGACACATTGTGTGTCCAATATTTGTCAGCATGGAGGTGCCTGGTGCTTCACCTCTTCATCGATATATTATAAACATTTTATTCTTCATGGACTAAAATTGTTATAAATATTATTATTGATTTCTGAATAAACAAATTAATTAAATTTATTCCGTAAATTTTGCTTTAATGGCATGTTAATAACACCTCTCCTATGGTTCTGCAGAGAATTACAAAGACGGCTGTTCAAACTGCAGGAGTAGAAATGAATGCCATCAAATCAAGT